GCCCAAATGGCCAAATATCTAAACAACATTAACAAATACTATTGATTTTTTGACAAAAGTTCGAAGGTGTTCGTTACAAACGGCGAAAGAATCTATTGTATTCTGTATAAAAGAAAGAAAAAGAAGACAACAGTTTGATTATACAGCAAGTGGTTACAACAACAATAAAGTAATATGTAAGCTAAATTTATTAAAAAAAACAAATATGTAAACTATATTTTTCTATAAAGATGTTATATTAAAAAAATATAAAAAGGTAAATTTGTCTTTGTAAAATTTTCATACTTATTTGATTCTACACTAAAACAATCCAAATAAAAAATAAAAATAAATATATATTTTTTCTATAAATAATAAATAATAATAATATAATATATATTTTTAAAATAACAAATTATATTATAAAACAAATTTGCACGTAGAGCAAAATATATTCTAGTTATACAAAAAAAGTGAAAAAATTTTAAAAGGACAATTTGCAAAGAGAGAGAAAGAAGAAAAAAGCCACAAATCTATTTAAAAATTTTGATTTTTATATATAAAAGGAAGGATCTTTTTGTAATATTATAATTTATATATAATATATTGTAGTCAAGCATTTATTATAACTAGTTTCTTAATTTGAGCTTTAATATAATATACTTATATAATGCTATTTCTCATTATTAATGTACACTTTTACAATAACATGAAAATACATTTTTTTGAAAAATTTCACATACTTATTTAGGCTAGCACAACTCTTGGAAGTATATGAATAAACAATATAGTTTTTAGAATAAACAACATAGTTTGTCCTACTGCGCTTAACCATAGCGCAATATTCTTATAATAATATTTGTCATCAATCACTATTTTAAATGTCTCTTTAGTCTTAACCATACCACAATCTTACTTATATAATGCTTGTATCTTTGCCAACAATGGGACTCAAAATCAATACAAATGTCGTTCGTATTGTTTATGTATGCTAATTGATGTAAACAATTGTACGCAAGTGAATAAAAACATTAAAGTAATAGATAATTGCGAAGATCAATCAATAATTGCGAAAGGAAGACCAGAATTCGAGCGAAGAGCTCAAATGCCATTTTCACAGAAAAATTGATTTACACTGCCATCACATGATTTAATGCCACTTTCTTATTTAAATGAGATGTGATATTACAAATCAGTCCGTAATTAAAGTTACTGAAATTAACTAAGTAAAAATAAATTAGTAAAAGTAAAAGAAATAAAAGTAAACAAAATTAATTTTTGAAAAAAAAAAAAATTGAATCATCGATCCCCCATAGCTCGAGCATCTCCGCGAGAGCTCCTCCTCCTTCTTCTCACCCGAGCTCTCTTCTGGTTTCCAAGCTCCTTCCATAAGCATCTTCTCCCGTCATCCTTTTCGTCCAACCTAGATCGACTTTTTCTCCACTTCGTCCGACCCAGAATTTCAGTCCTCTTTCTGCCATTGTTGAAGATCTCATATTTTGAAGGTGATTTCTTCTTTTTCAATTAGAGTGTAAAATTATGGCTTTAGATTTGAAAAATTAGGGATCTGGGTTGGTAACAATGTATTCTGGATATATTAAGCCATAGGTTCGGTAATTTGTGAGAAGAACATGGTTATGTTTATCAGATTCATATGCAGAACAACAAAACTTGAGCTCGAAATTCCCAAAATTTTGATAGGAAAATAGTACAACTGGTACAACTGGTACAACTGGTACAACTGAGAGCGAACTGGAACAACTGAAAACTTAAGTTCAACTGGTACAAATGAGAGTTATAGTTCAACTAGTACAACTGAGTTCAATTTAGTTCAATTTAGTTCAATTGAGTTCAACTAGTACAAATGAGAGGTGTAGTTCAACTGGTACAACTGAGTTCACTTTAGTTCAACTGAGTTCAACTAGTATAACTGGTACAAATGTGAGGTATAGTTGCACTGGTACAACTGAATTCAATTGGGTTCAACTGGTACAAGTGGTACAAATGAGAGGTGTAGTTCAACTGGTACAACTGAGTTCAATGTAGTTCAATTGAGTCCAACTGGTATAACTGTGGTACTTTGTGTTCAATTGAGTTCAACTGATCGACTATTTTCACTATATTTTCAGGAGAGCATGAACATCAACCGCACAAACATACATTTGACTATGAAGGGAGTTATTCACATGATGGAGGGGAGTTGAAATGGTTTACAAGTAATTTCACCTATGCTATACCATTTAGGAACTTATCATTGGAGAAGATAACTTACTCAGCGTTAGTGAATAAGATAACGATATGCAGGAAGATATGGTTGACAGAGCTGCACATAAAAACTGTTTTGGGGTCCATACATATAAGTCTGATACAGGGCGGTTTATTATAGAATGCCGTCAAAAGAGTCAAGGCTGTAAATGGTATTTACGAGCTGCAAGGTTTAAGAAATCAGATTATTTTAGTGTTAAAGTATACATAAAGATGGATATATGCTCTCGGGCCGTTGAGAGGCACCCCACGCTTAATAGCATCTGTTTTGTAGTGCAGTTTGATTTGTGTGTATGTGTGTGCATTTTGTAATTCTCGGTTTTGTACAACCATGTTAGACTATGTACAACTATGAATCTTTATGTGTTTGAGTTTGGCGAATTTGTATGATCAGGTTCAACTAGGTACACGTATGAACAATTCTGAGTTTCATTTTGTCGAATTCACACTTCTAAGTTTAACTGGGTACAACTATTAACGTTTATGTGTTTCTCATTCTCTGATTTGTACTACCAAGTACAACTGAGTACACGTATGGACAGTTACATATTTGTCTTTCTTGAATTCGCACTTCCAGGTTCAACTGAATATAACTATTAATGATTATATGTTTGTCATTCTCTAATTTGCACTTCTAGGTTCAACTGAGTACAACTATTAACGCTTGTGTGTTTGACTTTCTTGAAATCGAACCACCAGGAGCAACTAGGTATAATTATTAATAATTTTGTGTTTTTCTTAAAATTGCACCAACAAGTGCAACTGAGTGCAACTGGGTACAACTAATATCAACTTTAGAAGTGAACTAAACCATTTTTAAAGCTACAAGTGATGTGAATCAACCAATTAAGACCTATATACACATTTTCAACTATAAAGAAACAATTACTAATATAGAGAACATTAATTTTTTTATTTTGATACAAAATCATGTTTTCACATAAACCATCCCTTACAATATAAGGAAGATATCAATATTGTTAAGCCTTTTAGGAGTAAAAAAATCATAATATTAAATTCTTCATACATTGTCCTATGAAAACGTTGTAAATGATGTTTAATGGTCCAAAATCATTTGTACAACTACACCATAATAGTTTAGGGGAAGGTTCAACTAGAAATACAATAAAATTACAAAAGTACAACTATTAGGAATTTTGGCTCAACTACTTGCTTGGAGACAACTAAGTTCAGTTTATTTTGGAAAATTTAATAAATTTTCAGTTTTCCGCCAGCAGGAAGAATTTGCAATATTTTAATTTTATTTTCAAAAAGTCCATTTTTCCAAATGTTTCAAGACCCTAATTTTATTTTATTTTTTCTGAGAGAGAGAGAGAGAGAGAGAGAGAGAGAGAGAGAGAGAGAGAGAGAGAGAGAGAGAGAGAGATTAGAAGAGAGAGAGATTAGGAGAGAGAGAGATTAGGAGAGGGAGAGAGAGAATGAGAGATCAGGAGAGAGAAAGATGATTCCGAGAGAGAGAGAGACTATTCCGAGAGAGGAAATGAGAGAGACGATTTCGAGAGAGGAGACGATTCCTAGAGAGGAGACGAGAGATGATTCCGAGAGAGGAGACGAGAGAGAAGATGCTTCAATTTTTATTAAAAAAAAAATTAAACAATTATGAAAAACCATAATTTGTCATCAGTTGAACTTAATAAAACTCAGTTAAACCATAAAACTCACTCAATCGAACCATGTATTTCAGTTGTACCTCGTTACTTGTGTCATCTGTTGTACTTAATAAAATCCAGTTGAACTTAATAAAACCCAGTTGAACCATAAAACTCACTCAGTCAAACTCAGTCGAACCATGTATTTAAGTTGTACCTTGTTATTTGTGTCATCCATCGTACTTAATAAAATCTAGTTGAACTTAATAAAACTCAGTTGAACCGATAATATAACTCATTCGAACCATGTATTTTAGTTGTACCTCATTACTTGTATCATTCGCGGTACTTAATAAAATCCAGTTGGACTTAATAAAACTCAGTTGGACCGTAAACCTCACTCAATGGAACCATGTATTTCAGTTGTATCTCATTAGTTGTGTTATCCATTGTACTTAATAAAATCCAGTTGAACTTTATAAATCTCGGTTAAACCGTAAAACTCCCTCGATCGAACTCAGTCAAACTATTTATTTCAGTTGTACCTCACATACATTATATTTTTCATAGTTCTCACAAAATCCGGATATAAAATTCCATAGCTTGATGTTGCTGAAGCTCCACCATTGAAGGACTAGCAATATGAATGTTGAACACCACGACTTTAGCACTGTCCATGACAATGGTGGCCATGTAACTTGGATTTTGCTTGTTCCATCCAATGAAACTCACTGATTTTTTTTTTACTTTTGAATATGTTGGTTAGCAATCACACGACAAACAGGATCATGCTGCAAACAGAAGGAAAACTGTACCCTCCAAAAAATTATGCAAAACTCTAAATAAAACCAAACACTTACTATAGGATCTTAAGCTGGATAAAACAATAAAAACAAAGCAGAATACCTCGAACAATAAAAAGTTAAATGCCAAAATGCAACAGTGAACAAACATTCCCAAGTTGCTGTTCAGATCCAAAATAATCTGATCATCTTGCACAACTCCAGAATCAAGGCTCCAAACATGATGAAAACAAAGAAGCTAACCTCGTACGTCAATAAAGAAATTTAATAGATCATCTGGTGAAGACAGAGGAAAATCGATTAGTTAAATGGTTATTTAGCCATTCATCCAGCCTTCATCACCTTATCTCAACTGATTAATGAGCTCTTCCAGCTTCGGCTCAAATATATCATCGCAGTACTGCATAAAGAATATCAATCTTGGCAGGACAAAAAACAAATTCACACATCATCATTCATTGAAACCTAAACTAGGGAAAATCGTAAAAATTAATTAAGTTGCAGAATTTTGAGCCCTGAAATTGCTACAACAATCATTGCTGAACTAAACCTAAAAAAAATAAGTGAAGAATGCAATAAAGAAACTCGACACAACAGCATAGCTTCCAGTATAAGAGACGTGCCAAGAAACTCATACGAATCTACAGACATTAGAGGACTAAACTTCAAAAGGGTACAGAAAAAAATATCAGAAAAAAGTAATTCAACAGAGAACGAAGATGAAAATGGAAAACCTTAGTGAGAGAGAGCAAGTAGAGGTCAAGGCTGTTATGCTGAGAAACTGAAGATTAAGGAAGGGAAGAGACATCGGAGCAGAAGCACGCATCCATGACGGCGGAGAAGCAGCAGAAAAACGATGAAGCCACCGAAGAGAGCCTGCCATCTATGTCAAGGAGAGACTTGAGATCCGTGACGAGTTCGTGGTACTAAGATTGAAATTCATCGTCTCCTCCTCCTTCGATTGAATCAATGGAATTAAAAAAAAAATTCTTAGATGAAGAACCCGATGAAGAAAATAGAATGATAGTCAGAAAAAAAAGGAGTAGATAGATTCTAATTAAGTTAACAGATTTAAATGGTTATATTGTGTAATTTGTTTAATTCAATAAAGGTTTAAAGGGTATTTCCTACGTTTTAATTAAAAAAAATAATCAAAAATAAATTGTAAATAAGAAGATGGCATCCTACATTAGTTTTTTCAACAAAAGTGGCATTTCAGCCATTGTTCCCCAGAATAGCAAAGCATTACTCTAGTCAAACACAGAAGCAGAGAGAGATGATGATGTCGAAATCAAAAGCTCTTGCCTTCATAATCGCAGCTTTATCTTACTACTTCTTCTCTTCTCCACCGAAACCTCACTACCATGCCCTTTTTCTCTCCGCTTCCTTCTCCGACAACGCTTCCGTCGCCTTTAACCTTCGTACCCTCACGCGCCGCCCTCATGTGGCCGGTTCAGTGGCCAACGCTGAGGCTGCCGCCTTCGTTCGCTCCGCCTTCATCTCCTCCTCGCTCAAATCACACGTCGTCGCTTACCCTGTATCTCTAACTTACCCAATTCATCGCTCCCTAGTACTAACACCCAAAGAATCAGCAAAGCCGATCACTTTCGCGCTGGAACAAGAACAAGTCGGAGACAATCCTTACGCAGATGAAGTGATGCCTACTTTCCATGGATACGCCAAGTCAGGCAACGTCTCTGGGCCAGTGGTTTATGCAAACTACGGCCGAGTCGAAGATTTCGTTGGTCTGAATGCCTCCGGAGCCGTCGTAATCGCGAGGTATGGAAAAATTTACAGAGGAGACATAGTGCAGAACGCGTATCAGGCGGGAGCTGTAGGCGTCGTGATCTACACAGACAAGAGAGATTACGGCGGAGATGAGTGTTTTCCGGCGAGTAAATGGATGCCGCCGAGTGGTGTTCAAGTGGGTACCGTTTATAATGGGTTGGGTGATCCGACGACTCCTGGGTGGGCAAGTGTCGATGGGTGTGAGAGATTATCGGAAGAGGCCGTCGAATCAATCGGCGATTCTCCGCTCATACCTTCGCTGCCTGTCTCGGCGGCTGATGCGGAAGTGATCTTGAAGACCATCGTTGGAGATGTTACTGATGGAGATGTTTATCCAGTGGGGCCTGGACCTGGGATTCTGAACCTGAGCTACATTGTGAGTTTGTGTGAAAGTGAGAGTCTCTTTAGATTTGTGATTCTGACTTTTAAAAGATTTGAACTTGTTGGGTGTGGTTTCAGGGGAAAACTGTTATAGGTCAGATTGAGAATGTTATTGGAGTGATTGAAGGAGAAGAAGAACCTGATAGGTAACATTCTCAATATGAGTGGCAATATAAGCTAACTTTTGATACTGACTTACTAAAGGGATTTTGTTTGGAGAATTGGTTTAGATATGTGATTCTTGGAAACCATCGGGACGCTTGGAGTTTCGGAGCTGTTGATCCCAACAGTGGCACTGTGGTACTTTTGGAGGCGAGTAAAGTTGTTCACTCAAAACTTTTAAATGGTTTTTTTATTACAATGAGAGATGTTGAAACTGTAGTGTAGATTGCACAAAGACTAGATAAGCTGCAGAAGAGAGGGTGGAAGCCTCGACGGACAATTATTCTGTGCAATTGGGATGCCGAGGAGTATGCTCTGGTGTCTACTCTCTACATGTCTCTACTTTTGTAATTTGTCGAAAGCACAAGAAAAGTCGGTTTTTTTATGTGTGTTTGGTTTCTGTAGATTGGGTCAACAGAATGGGTAGAAGAAAACAGAGAGATGCTAACTTGGAGAGCAGTGGCTTACTTGAATGTAGATTGTGCTGTATCTGGTCCAGGTTTTCATGCCTCTGCGACTCCACAACTCGATGAACTGATAAAACAAGCGGCTCAAGAGGTACTTTAAAAGCAGTTTAACAAGCATCTTGATGGGTAATTGGGTATGTATACAACAGTCTTTTGAGCTAATCTTGAATGGTAAGTGTTAACAGTTTCTGGTACAAGAACACCTAATCAAATCTTTTTCGTTTAACTATCTCCAGGTCCGGGATCCAGATAACACAAAGCAAACCATCTACGAATCATGGATAGGATCAAAAAGCATATCCAGTGTGGTAAGTGAAGACACACTAGGTTGTACTCCCTCTAGTATAAGTTGTTTTGGAGATTTTATTTTGTTTCACAATATAAGTTGTTTGCACATGTTAATGTTACTTATATTTTTATTATCTTTATTGAATACTGTGTGACCAATTATATCATACAGTTTTTTATATTTTAGACAAAAAAGTAGTTTACTAAATATTTATGATTTTACCTTAAACAATTTATATATTGAAACATAAGGAGTAACATTATGATCATAGTATTATGGCAAACTGATTTGTATTACATGGTATGTGAAGATCGGTAGATTGGGGGACACAGGATCGGATTATGCATCATTTTTGCAACATGTTGGCGTTCCAGTAGCTGACATGCGTTTCGGAAAAGGTAAAAATCTCTGAATCAGCCACTCACACTAACACTAGATGAACCAAACATCACGGTCTGTATAGACACCGAGTCAATAAGTTTTTTTACTCATAATTTAGACACTAACGTCACTAACCATTGCTAACAATAACCATGAATAACAGGATATCCAGTCTATCACTCTATGTATGATGACTTCACTTGGATGGAAAATTTTGGAGACCCGACGTTTCAGCGACATGTCGCAATGGCTAGTGTTTTCGGTTTGGTCGCTCTCCGGTTAGCGGATGAAGAAGTCTTGCCATTTAACTATATCTCCTATGCATCAGAACTCAAGGTAACTAATTGATAAAAACAAGTGGTCAAAAGCAGTTAATGAGAGAATATATTGCCGTAATGGTATTTGTCTACGTGCATAAACAGAAAAGTGCAGAAGATTTGGAAAAGGCGATCTTAAGCCATAGCATGAATGTTTCTCCGTTATTCAAATCAATCCATGATCTATCTACGGCTGCAAAAGGGATAAATATAGAGAAAGAGGTATGGAGATAGTATTCACATTTGACAAAATCGACAAGGATATTAAGAGTTAGCTTTGATTGAACTTTGTGCAGGGAATAAAGGCTGGAGCTCTGAAAGTGAGAGAGCTCAACGATAGATTAATGATGGCGGAGCGAGCTTTAACAGACCGAGATGGACTCCCTGAAAGAACCTGGTTCAAGCATTTGGTATACGGACCATCCAAGTACGATGACTATGGATCCAAATCATTCCCTGGAGTTGATGATGCAGTCGAGAGTGCAAAGAGGCTAAAGACGAAAGCATCTTGGGAACATGTTCAACACCAGATCTGGAGAGTCTCTCGAGCTATAAGACATGCATCACTGGTTTTAAAAGGTGAATTGAGATGATATCAAGTTGAAAAGTGAATTTGTCTGAGTATTAAAACGGAACCGCAGAGCTCGTAAGACTTTTGGTTTTGAGTTTTGAGTTGTGACTTTTTGGGAGAAGTATGATATGGGGGTTTGGAATATAAATGTATCGAGTTGTAATGTTCAATGGAATACTACTTTTGTGTACAGTTGAACTGTTTGCATTTGAAGTCTCATTCGGTTAATTTTTTTTTTAACAGTAACGTTGTTTTCAAGATTAACCAATACTTTCGCATACCCAAAAAACATTAAACGGATACAAAGTATTCAAACAATTCTCGCGCACACCATGACACCAATAGGGATTAGGGACTATCTTTTCCTTTGCTTAAATTAATGTTTTACTATCTTTTTAGAATTTTTTTTTTTTTAAAAACAGAAAAATGAGAAAAGAAAAACAATGGAAAAGCTTTACTATCTTTTTCTTTGCTAAAGATGATTATAGTATCAATGTTTTGTGGTATTGGAGAAATAAAACACTCTTCTGTTTCAAAATAATTTCAAAATAAGTGTTATTTGACACTTTTCACACAAAATAAGAAAAACATTAAAAGTTCTGTTTTATCCTTTGTTCACACAAAATAACATTCTGTTTCTAGTTAATACATTAATACAACAAGGTTAAAATATGATTTTTGTTTAGAAAATTGCATTGGAAATACAAAACGACACTCTTTGTGAAACAAAAATAAAACTCTAAAACGACATTTATTTTGAAACGGAGAGAGTATGAAAGATTAACATAATGATCGATTTTTGGGATATGAAATAATGAAAAAAGACATCATTGTTGTGATTCTGAATAATATTTTATGAGCTGTCATCGAAATCGTCACCTTGAATTATATCTTCTAATTTCTAAATTTCATCGTCATTTTTTAAAATATGAATTATTATTGTTATACTGCTATATATTTGCTGAATCCCCATCTTCTTCAAGAATCCAAAATGTTGACCTAGACAGCTCTTGTTGTTTAACATTAGCTTTTCCATTCGATCTCTCCTTGCATCTCATCAAATTACTAGAACCATTACGATCAGGAACTAGGTTTTCTTCTTGTTCTTTGTATGGTTGTAAGCTTTAAGTGGATATGTCTTGGTGATGTAAGCATCAATACTTATATCAAGAAGAAACACAAAAGAGAGGAGCTAGAACCTGTTTTGCTTGAAGATAAAGAGCAAAGGAGACATGGAACTGTTTTCAAAGGAGCTAAGGACTTAACAACAAAACACTGTCGTTCTATGCATCAAGGAGGACGTTCTGATCAAGCTAAACCATAGCTGGGCCAGTATAATTCACAAGAAGACCAAGCCAAACCACCAGAACCACCAAATTACATGAATGGACCAACATTCATGTTTTCAAGACCATTTAAGGAAACTTCCACCATATCTTATATCACCACGCCCATTTACATTCCTTAGCATGTTATGAAGATACCAAGAGCTCTAAACCACCAGACCAAGCCAATAACCAAGTCAAAACATTCCAAACCGAAGAAGATATCACCATGAAGACAATTTCCTTTTCTAAGCATGTTAACTTTGCTCCAAAGGGAAACTATGACCAACGACCACTCACTCTCAGCAATCTCGACCCTCCATCCTCTAAAGAAGATCCTGGACGTTCATACAAAGATCAAGACCACAATATTCGTTCCCCCTCTCTCAAAGGCCCAAATCAAGCATTTTTCCCCCTTTATGCCCAAAGACTAGCTACAAGTCAAACCAAACTTTATGCTTTTTTTTATTACCTTGTTGCCGTTTTTACACTGCATTTTGAGCACTATATAAGCTCATAAGCTTGTACTTTCATACCCACAAAATTATTTAATCAAAATCCTTTTATTTGCTTCTAAAAGAAAGATTTTTTTTGAATCAATATTGTTCCTGCTTATTACTAGTTCTTCAAGAGGGATTCTTAGAACTTGTAAAGAGTGTAGAGACTAGTGTTCTTGTGAGGATTAGCCCTTGAACATTAGAATCTAAACCCTTTGTGTTTGGGGTTCAAGCACAGCTGGCCAACCAACCATCTAGCCATTCAACCATCAAAGGCTTCTAAGCAAAGATTTCAAAGGGACATTACTTGGAGCATTTCAAGTATTGTATCACTTGGTGACTTGGTACAATGATGCATCTCCTTTAGTCCTTTTGCTCCAATTTTTCTAAGATTTGTTGCTGTTTTGACTTGCCACTCTTCATCTATTTAGTTCCTTTGACATTTATTTATCATCTTGGCCTCTTTATGATGTTGAATGAAAATGGAAGATTTATTTATGTAAACTACATTTGCTAGTACAGTGTTTTCTCATGTCACTATAAAGAAAACAAAGTGATTTCGAAGGATAGTAATTCGTTGGAAATTTTGATAGAATTGTGACGACTTTGTGGCAAGAGAGCATAGCGTCAGAAATCCATCAGAAGTCATCACAATATTTCAATGAATTTCTGATGGACCGTATCCGTTACTAATTTCCGATGGATTTTCTGAGCCATTTGAAATATTATAGCCATTATTTAACCATTGAAATGTTGTCAAAAATCCATTGGAAATACGTCAAAATATTGCGACGAATTTCTGACGAACAACATCCATTACTAATTTCCCAATGAATTTCAGAGATGTTTTAAAATATTATAACTGTTATTTAGCTGTTTGAGTATTGTCATAGATCCGTCAAAAATCCATGCAATTTTTGTCGGAAATACTCGCACAACCTCCTCATAAATAACAATTTACCATTTTCATTCATTAGTACAATAAAAAATCCCCTTTAATCTAAAGTCTCTAACAAATTAAATATACTAAAAATTGACCATCGCGTTGTACAGATTTATCTATTAATTTATATTAAAAAAATTCTACATATTGTTTTAATTTTTTTTATTATCGTAAAATATGTAAATTTAATATGAAATATTTTTTTTAATATAAATTGTGATATGCTAATTATTTTAATTTTTTTTTCTCTTATAGTTAAATGATGCTGTAAGTATCTATGTATTTATATTAAAGATTTTTATTTTATTAACTTTTTATGTGATTTATTTCCACGGAGAACAATAAAATTATTTCACTATCGAGCCCACACATTTTCTTTATTATTTTGAAATGAGTCTTTAGTTCTATGTTTTTTTCACTTTTAAACTAATGTCAAAATAAAAGTAAATACAGTCTCTCTTCAGTAGAGTTTAAAGTCATTCAATTTTTGAAATTCTTTTTCGCGAGAGTATATATATTTTGTTTTTTTGATCAATAATATTGTTGATAGGTTTTGATATTTATCTATTTTTTTATGGATTTTAGTGTGTTTTCTTTTACATTTGTGTGATTTTTTTCCTTTCCTGATTACTTTCATAGGTTTTTCAAGTATGTTTTCGTATTTTCTTTCATTCTTATTAAAATTAGTATTCTAAAATATTAGTTTTGTAAAATTTAGTCCTACGTTTTTTTATTATAACTCAATATTCCAAACTTTGTATAATTCATTCTCAATCACAATAGTATTACATTTTTTCCCATTTTGTATAAATCAAATTTAGTTTTATGCTACATGATTTAAAACTTTAGCCTTTTTCTTTTCTTTACAGCAAACTTTGGTCTTTTATTCTTGCAATATATTCATTCATTTTCTAAAGTATAATAGATAGGAATGATTTTATTTTAGTTTTTTGCATATATATTTATGAGTATTTTTTAAAATTCAACAACTATTATGTGCAAGTTCTTCCATATTTGTTAGATTACAACTTCTGTTCCCACATTTTTTTTTGTTAAAAGGCCTTCTACACTTTATATTTTTTTTAGTTTGAATTAGCATTTTTTTTAGTAGAGAACATACAGTTTTTCTATTATGTGAAATAAATATTTATTGTTATTTTTAAGTTAATGTCTGAAGATGCCCAAATATCTGCATAAAAATAAACCCAAAAAGTTAATATTATGTGAAAACCTAAAATATTTAAAAGCCCACAAAATAAAAATAAAAAATACTGATGTGGACATCCTAGATGGAGAGAAACTTATATAATTAAATATATAATTCATGAGTTCCTTGTAATTATTTTCAATTATGGATAGATTAGCCTCATCAAATTCCGAGTACGGGTCAAATGATGGAGGAATACAAATAAGATCTGCAATAATTTATGGGATTTGCAACTATCCAGCCGAAAGCAAAAAAAAAACGGGTAAACTATATTGTAATTTTACTAACTGTTAGGATCATAGATTTATCAAAATAGGCGAGGTATGGACACAGTTGTATTGTAATGAATTTATGTCGGATTATAAGATTTGGTATAATTATGGAGAAAAGAATATAAAGGTAGATTATGGTAGTACTAGTAAACAAAATATTTAGGATAGCGTAAAAGAACATGGAACGGATCAAGTAGAAGTTGTAGGTCATATTGAGATGGTGAATGATGTGTTTTAGTGAAAGTATGCCATCGATTGGTGAGTACGCAGATAAATGTGAAGAACCTAACTTAGAGGCTTGAAGATTCTTTGATATGTTAGATGCTGCCAAAATCCATTGTATGATGGTTGTAAAAAGGGACATTTCCCTTTATCAGCTGCAACTAAGACGATGGGTATAAAGACGGAACACAGTTTGAGTGAGGAGTGTGCGGATGCAATAGCTGGTTTTGTGAGAGACATTTTGTCTGAAGATAATCTTGCACCAGTATCACATTATGCGATACAAAAACTTGTTGGTGGTCTTGGAATGCCTTTCCAGATGATAGATGTGTGTATCGACAACTATGTGTTTTACTGGAGAGAGAACGAAAACTATATTATATGTCGATTTTGTTGGAAACCTTGGTATAAGGAAACAGGTGGAAGAGTGCCAATGCCACATAAACATATGTGGTATCTACCGTTAACAAAGATAGTAAAGAGGTTGCATCAATCAAAGCGCACAACGGCAGCAATGACATGGCATGCTGAGGATACAACATATAGAGAAATTGCTCATCCCTCAGATGCGAACGCTTGGAAATATTTTCAATATGTGTATCCAAGTTTCGCGTATGAGGCGAGGAATGTATACCTTGGATTGTGTACAGATGGTTTCAACCCATTTGGAAAGCATGGGAGAAAATATTCATCGTGGCCAGTAATTATAACACCTTACAGTTTACTGCTATCTTTGTGCATGAGACAAGAGTTGTTTTTTAGCATTCTTGTTCTTGGACCAGAGCATCCGAGGATATCA